CTTGTTCTGAAATATCGGATTTGGGAACCGTAAAAAAAGATAGAAGAATAATAAGAATAATCAATATATTAAGTATTATCGTGGCAAACCCTCTTAAAACCATTTTCGGTTCAAAGGAGGAAATAAGGTTTGTAGTTTATATGCTTCAGTGTAACACCTATCGTTATTAGCTTTAATTTTAATTGTGGATCACGTGCCTAGAGATCTTGCGATAATCGTTTACTACTGTGGTACGTACAATACATATTAGTATGTAATAAAAAAAAAAAAAAAAAAAAAAATTCGAGCGCCAAAAGTGTCTTGAACGTCAAAAGTGTCTCGAACTCTATAAAATGGATTCTCGTAATGTGTATCAATTATTTAGTGCTACATATGATTCTGATCCAAATGTGCAAAAGCAAGCAGAAGCACAACTAAAACAGGTATTGCCAGTATTGCCAGTATTTAATACCATCGGGCGAATATAGAATATAAGGTATAGGGTATCATTAACATGTCATTGTTAACATGTCATTTTCAATGTATTCATTGGTAATAGGTTGAGGTATCCGCTGGGTTCATCCCTATTCTTCTTCAAATTTTGGCTTCACAAGAAACTACCGTTGAAACGAGGCAAGCTAGTGAGTGCTTGTTTTTCAAAAAAAAATTATTCCTAATTAATCACCAAATCGAGTTTCCCTAATTTAATTTCATTTATTATTTTAGTTGCAATATATCTTAAAAATCGTATTCGTTCATCTTGGGTATCGGATGAACCATCAACGGTAAATTTTGTCCTTATTAATCAACAAGATCGGGATGATTTTAAAAAAAATATATTACATATATTATTATCTGTACCTAATTCTGTAAGGTTAGTTTAATATTTCCAATGACTCTTATCAATAATTACCTATTATATCTTTAATTTTCAGCGTACAAAGTATTTTAACTTAAATCAAATATAGAATTCAACTACTTGATCCTTTGAGTAGAGTTCTTGATAATGATTATCCTCATAATTGGCCTGATTATTTAAATCAAGTTATTGCTCTTTTGACTTCCGGTGATCCTAGAACTGCTTATATTGGCTTATTGGCCTTACAACAAGTCGTTAAAGCTTATCAGTAAGTTTTATTTATTTTACTTTTTCTTTATTTATTTCTTTGCTTATTTCTTTGTTTATTTCTTTACTTATTTATTTACTTATTTCTTTA